GGACTCTGCATTTTCCCTTGTTATATTTCATCTCCATGAAGCAAAACAAAGTCTAGGTATTATCTGGGTACTTCTTATAATGTTATTTCTCACCAAAGGAGATGCTTAATGCCATAGTGGCCTATTTTACAACAGATTGGGATAAAAGAACTAGGAAAAGTATTCAAACTGGTCCATAAAATAGGATATCCTGTCATCTTGGGTAGGCATTTGAGACAGGAGAAGGAAGAAGGAGCTAGAAGGTCAGAAATTTTAAACATGTTTAATCACACCCCTGGACATATTTTAGTTTCTCTGTGCAGTCATGACAAATACACATTATTTTAAGGCTTCTTAAAAATTGCGCTGATTTAATTGTATTTAAAAACAAAACCAGAAATCCCCAACCAGCAACAGCAAAATCTGTTTCCAGACTACTCCCACAGTCTCCATCGATCCGTGCATACCTTGTACACGTCGTGCACTGTGGTCAGCCTGTCAAACCGCAGGTACATCGAATTTAGCATGAGAACGATCTGGATAGGCTCACACTGCGCACAGATACTGGTGAAGGTCACAACATCACTGAATAATATGGTGCACTCCTTGAACTCCCCTGTGAGCAGAAAGAGCAGGAGTAAATAATTGTACGGGTTGGACAGCCACCACATCTGTTTGAGATTTGTTTGCAAACATTACTTTCTCATCATTCTTTTAAGACATATGACCTATCAGTTTTAATACTCATATATAGGTGCTGATATGAGACACGTTGATATAAAAGTATACAAAATATAAGAACCATAGCACATCTCAAACAGTCCAGACATCTGAACACATCCCTTTGTCCATCCATATTCAAGCTAAGTTTATCTACTTAGCTCTTTACACCTAGCTTCATAAAGGGAATTTAGATATAATCTTACATGCAATCCTTAATAACAATAGGAATCATGATGAATCTAGGTTTATAGACAGCATAGAGTAACTAAGGGAATTTTCTAAGACCAATTTGCTTTATTCCTTTCATTTTCGAGCTCTTATTTCCCTGTATACCCACGTTAAAAACAAAATCTCAGTGTACTGTTGAAACACTGTGCTTTCATCCCTGAATGGGCAGCTGCTACCACCTTTCATCTCCTAGGGAACTATTTTTGCAATTAGCTTCCAAAGCTGTGCTTGAAGGAATCGTCTAAGCTTTGTTACTGGTGAGATTAAGGGTCTGTGGTCCTCCTCCCCTTAATGTCACCAAGTACAGAATGTACTCCACAACAGCGAGCATGGGGCTGTGCCAGCACCCCAATCTCTCTGCCACCATCACACCTGGCGCACGCACCATGGCTGCATCTTATGCATTCACCTGCTTCAACTCGTTTCCCCTCTTTCAGCTGGTTGGCCACGTGCTGAGGAAGCATGGCATAGAGCAGAGCTTCAGTCTTTTTCTTCTCTTCCTCTAGGTGCTTTGACAGTATCCGCAGTTCTTCCTTCTTCCTCTCCAGCTGGTTCGAGAGCTCCATCTCTGCCAGTCGCTGCTGATTGAGAAGAATCAAATCCCTGGTCACATCGTGAGGTGCAATGTCTGCAATATGCATCTGTCGCTCCTCCAGCTCATGCAAAGTGCGAAGCAAGGGTGAGCAGAGATAGAGCATGCACTGCAGGGACTCCATCCAGATCATCTGGCCTGTTTGAAACAAGTTTTGGTAAGACTTTTCAGCAGCTTGGACTTTCACGATGCTCTGTGTTACTGATGTTAATATTAGGGGATAAGTTCTAAGGACAGCGGCTCTCTGTAGGGCCTGGGTCATCACAGGGATTACTCCGTTTCCTGGAATTAGAGGTGGACTTCTCTGGAAGAAGTACACTAGGCAAATAAAAAGATTTCAGGACCTAGAAAACTGTCACTCACACATTGCAACTGCTAGTCAGAGCCCAGCCCTGCTTCAGGTCTCTCTTCCTCAGGAGGAAACCCAGTGCTCGCAACATCTCTCCTCTACTGTGCTGCGAGTTCTTGAGCTGCCCCTGAAGCCAGTTGGTCAGCATCGTGCACAGGGAAGCTGAGACTCACAATGATTAAATGAAAAGGGTGAAGTTTAATGTCACAGTGATTAGAACGTGGCCCCAGTAAAGTCAACGGAGCCTTCCTTGCTGGAAGCTGAAGCTTTCAGTCCCTATGATCATACAAAGCAGCAGGTACAAAAAGGCCTGAATGGTAGAAGTTATTTTTGGAGGGGGATTAGGATTTTGTTTTCTTTGTTGAGATATTGTTATGGGTTTTTATTTTTAAAATAATAGTTATTATTATTCTTTATTTGCTTCCTAAGTATACTCGGTTTCTGAAAACCAGTCTAGGAATTTCTATTATATTTCCTCCTTCACCCCATCCCCAGGATGTCAGCTTGAAAACTAACAGGACTAGAACACCAGAGATAGCATGTGAATTAGCCCTGACAGGATAAGAGGAAGTAAAATTGTGCCTGTGACTAGTTAAACTGCCTTGTTTTGGTAATATCACTTTTTTTCAAGGTCTCCCTAAACTTTTATTTTTTTCTGAATCTCAGCAATACCAGATTTGACACTCACCATGTAAGGGTGAAAGGAAGGAAGGGAAAATTAGGTCATATCATATAGATCAGAGAGGCAAAATTGAGGTCACAGAACACTTAAACAAAATGTCATTATAGTTAATTACGTGAAGCAGAGAATCATTTTATACTCATTCATCTCAGTTAAAATAAAGCAGATAAAATCTCTTTTTTGGCTGCAATAATTTTAACTGCTGAAGTCTTAAAATGGAGAGGAGGGCAAAAATCAGAATTTGAAAATGCAACTACAAAATATAAAAGCACAGCTAACTAATCTATTTGCCAGTAGCAAATTTCTCCCCTCAAAGAGAGGAGGAGAACTGAACAACGCACTCACATTTTAGGAATCAAAACTCAGGGAGTTGCAGCGGCAGACATTTCTTTCCTCCAGCTGTAGCAACGTTATCAAAGCACTTCCCTCGTCCCCTGCCCCTTCCTGCCCTTCGCCCAGCAGATGGGAGGGAACGATGCTGGGCAGCGCGTTACTGCGGGAACGCTCATCCCGCCGTCTTGTCCTTGTCTGTACGCGCCAAAGGTGCAGCCCCAGCTTGCTGAGGTGGCCTTGCCCATGCTGGGTGGCTGGGTTTAAAATGTTGGTCCAAGTACCAAGCAGTAATTTCTCTGTTAAAAACAAAAATTCTGAGCAACGCAACTGACCCCGCATCAGGCGCACAGGGCAACGTGTAGAGCTATGAGGAGGTGAGACGTGGACAGGTACTTTTGCAGCTCAGCGCATCTCCATGCTGAGCCCCGTGTCACTGGGATCATAGAGGCTTGGTGGGATGGTTCACACACCTGGAGCACTGCAAAGGATGAATGCAGACTCTTTAGGAAGGTCGGAGAGGAGAGGAGAGGAGAGGAGAGGAGAGGAGAGGAGAGGAGAGGAGAGGAGAGGAGAGGAGAGGAGAGAGCAAGGGAGCATGGAGCTCTGCCTAGGGCTGAATTCTGTCCAGCTGAGAGCTTCTAGATAAGGGTTAGAGAGCAGACTACTGCAGGCGATGCTGTGATATGCTACAGAGCCCCCACTCAGGAAGAAAAATTAGATGAGACCTTCTTAAGACGAGTGGAGGAAGCCTCATGGTAGACTTTAACTACTTTGATATCTGCTGGACCAACAACGCAGCAGGGAACAAGCAATTCAGGAGGTTTCTGGAGTGCACCGAGGCACTGACACAGGTGAGCTTCCTGACACAACTGATATGAGCTTATAACGGGAGGTGTCCTGCTAGACTTGATACTCACAACCAGTGAAGAACTACTGACAGGAAAGCTGGGCGCAGCCTTGGCTACACTGACTGTGGGATGGTGGAGTGCAGGATCCTGAAAGGAGCAAATAAAGCGAAAAAGCAAAATCGCAACCCTGGGTTTTGTACGTTCAGGGATCTGCTTGGAAGAATCCAGTAGGATACAGTCTTGAGAAGAAGAAGGGTCCAGAAGAGCTGGTTCATTTCCAAGGATCTCCTCTTCCAAGTTCTATCCCAATGTGGAGAAAGTCAAGACATGTGGCAGGGGCCTGCATGGATGAACAAGGATCTTCTGACTAAACTCAAACATAAAAGTAGAATACAGGAGGTGAAAGCTGGGTCAGGTAACCCCAGAGGATAAGGCAGTGTTGAAAAAGCCAAAACCCACATGGAGTTACATCTGTCGAGGAATAAGAAGGGCTTCTACAGGTATATTAGCAGCAAAAGGAAGACTAGTGAAAACGTGGGCCTTCTGCTGAATAGGGCAAGGGATCTGACGAGAAATGGAAAAGTCCAAGGTACTCAGTGACTCCTTTGGTAAAAATCGCCCTTTGGGAACCTCAGGCCCCTGAGACCTGTGGGAGCAATGAAGAGCTACCCTCAGCACAGGAGGAGCAGGTTAGTAAACATTTAAACAAATTGGATATACAAAAGTCCGTGAAACCTGATGTGATGCATCCAGGAGTACTGAGGGAGCTGGCCAGTGTCACTGCAAGGCTGCTCTCAATTAGTTTTGAAAGGTCATGGTGACTGGGGAAGGTTCCTGAGGACTGGAAGGAAGCAAATGTCACTCCTCTTTTCAAGAAGTAAAGGATGGAGGACCTCGGGAGGCTTGGAGCATCTGTCAGACAAGGAGAAGCGGAGGGAGCTGGGGTTGTTCAGCCTAGAGAAGACAAACCCTGGGGCAAGCTTATCAATATGTATAAATACCTAATGGGAGGAAGTAAAAAATACTTTTCTCAGTGGTATCCAATGAAAGGACAAGACACAATGGTCACGAACTGAAATGCAAGAATTCCATTTAAACACTACAAACCCCTTTTTACTGTAAGAGTGATTAGACAGCAGGTAGGTCACACGGTCTCTGTTCTTGAATACAGCTAGACATGGTCCTGAGTAACCTGCTGCAGCTGACCCTGCTTTGACACTGGACAATTTCCAGACATCCCCCCCAAACTCAACTGGAGTTAAGTCAATTCTGTGACTCTGAACAGCCAAGACTAGAGGTGGTTCAGAAAACAATCTAATCCTCCCTTGGCCTTGCACCTGTTAGTCAGGAAACCAGAAAACATGTGGGGTTTATGGTACTAGAAAAAACACCGTCTTTCCAAGCCTTTCAAATGGGAGTGTTACTGTTATTTCTGACCAAAAGCCTTCAGAATCTGGTGAGATAACAGCAGAATTTTTGTATAAGCATCTTAAAGTGCTGTTTCTCTAAACAGAACCATCTAATCCTCTTGTCACTGCACAAAGACAAGGCCATTTATAAGAATTATGTGAAGCCAGGAGTCCTTAGAAAGGCATTCGTTCAACTCCAGCAAAATTCTTCATTTAATATGAACACTTATGCTATTGAAAACAGTGAAGTACCTCTCAGCTCTAGCATTGGCCGTTGTTTCCATGGCTCTGGCATCATCTCTCTTCTAGTCTGGAAAACAAATTGGCTGTTGATAAACTTCTGAATGCTAGAGATGGTGAAGGGTACTTCTGGGTGAACGATACTGAAGTATTGATCCAAGCAGATGCCCATGGTCTGAAGGCCAGGTACAATCTTTTGAATGCTCACCCCAGCTTGCTTCACTCTGAGCTTAAAAAGAAAATAGGGACAATGTGTTATAATTTATATCCTGTTTAGGTGCAGGCCAAGTTATAGCTGATCACTGTTTATACACATACACACACTTAGTCCTGCTATACTAGACGGCTTATTTCAGAGCAAAGCTTCTATCTTATTAGCACATTACTGCAAAGCTCTGAATGAGTGTCCTTCATAGCAAGACAAAGTCCCTAGACAGGAATGTTATTATCCAAATGCTCTTCCATATCAATTGTTCGAATCAAAATAAAACAAAAACCAGAAAAACACATATCTGCTCTTATTCTTGCTTGCATTTGTGTAGCCTAACAGAAAGCCTTACAGGTATCTGCAAGAGAAAATTAGAGATACCAGAGCATGTCCTGCTTGCCAAAGAGAAAATAAACGTGGCATGCAATTTCTTGGCCAATATCAATTGTCTAGCGGATGCCATGGGTTATCTTCTCTTAACCATTGCTGTGTAAAGGTTGTCTTTCTCTTTTAGCCTGCTGACCATATATGAGTTCTTAACTGCTGCAGAAACGTCCACCCTACTTTCATTGCTTGTCATCAGAGTAATTTAAGCTCTAAGCAAGCTACCAATAGTGGGTGCAGGACTTGCCCTTTATTCCACACTGGTAATTTTATCAAATTATGCTGACTGGATGTCTTGAAAGGTTTAAAACTCTGAACTTTGGCTAATGTGGACAGTGGCATGAAGCAGACTCTGTGCTCTGGAACCTCTCTCAGCGTGATGCCAAAACATGTTCCCTGAGTGGCTGTATTCAGTTTTCTTCTGCTGTCCCACTCAGCTTCTCCTTCCTCTGCTCCTGCCTTAAGGTAATATCCTCTGCATGGAACTGGGAGCAGGACATCCCGTAGCTTGGTGGGAACCCAGGCTAATTGGAAACCAGCCACGGAGCAGTCTCTGTGAAGGGAAAGGCAATTCCACTGCTGCAAAGGATGTGTGCACAGGAGAGGAGATTCAGTCCTCCTCTGGAAGATAAAGAGATGTTTTTATCCAGTTCCTACTCGATGGGTCTGCATGTTGCCCGATTTAGTAGGCAGCTGGGTTTTCCCAACAGAAGCATGTAGGCGTAGACTCAGGAAGTGTGCAGAGCCTGAGCTGCCATCAAAGCCTCACAAAAGCCTTTGGACAGATTGGTAACTGGGAGGAGAAGAGTGACTACCTATATGTACAAAGCCAGTTTCAAGGACGGGTCATGTCTTGGGCACATCCAAGGACAGAAGGGTGTCTGGAAGCCTCAGAAAATTCTGTTCCATGTTTGGTAACAGATAGACTGCTGCAATAGGCTTTGCTGGCACATCTGCAGCTATTTCAGACACGGTAATCTCAATAAATTCAAAGGAGACTGCTATCTGAAGTGATCCAGATCTGGTTGTTAAGAGTGACTTTTACTGCATGTCTCCGTACAGAGCACTTCTGTAAATGCTGTAAACGAGTGTGCCCTACATACAGCACACGCAGCAGTGAGGGGTAGGACGGGCGAAACAGAAGAAAATTATTCTGTGGTCCATGCAAACTAAATGCCCTTACCAAATGCTTGTCCTACCTCTTTGTCAAAAACCATATGAAAAGGAAGTCCATTGCAAAATGTTTTTGTGTCAATCCAGAGGCTCTTGGGGTAAACAGGATCAAATCCTCTCAGGAGCTTACCTGTGGCAAGGTAAATGTGAAGTTTTTAATCAGGCTGCACCTCATAAAACCTGTCAACATTACTTTTTAGCACTGAGACAGGACCCTATAGCATAATGAGTGAAGACAAATTGAGTCCAGAAATGTGCATACATCTGTGCTAAATGCTCCACAGTTTAATATGCAGTTGATTAGAAACTAACCTGAGTCGGCTGAGAGTTTAAAACTTAACCACACAAAAAGCACAGAGCATTAAATGCGTGAAATTATGTGGAAACAGTAAGAATAGATGAACAATTCTAGATGTTGTTGCTCTATGAATTTGCAGATGTCATAGCAATATAACACAGCAATACAACATATCCCTCCAAAAACGTAGGCAGAAGTGGATTCAATACACTGTGCCAGCTCCTAAGGAGCACTTATGGAGAAAGGCCCCAGAATGATCTGGGTTTCAGTCTCCTGTACAAAGAACTCTAGTCTGTAGCACAGACAACAAACTACTGCTCGGTTTCCGTTTTACTTACCCTGTGCTGTTTTCCCAAATGGTCACACATCTACAGAGCAGCTTGTGCTTGCTAGTGAACAGATAGCTTTGTAAACAGAATCAAACTGCAGAATAGTCAGAAGTGCTCGTCTGCCTGAAGCACCCAAAGCCTTTGATCTTCACAGTATAAACTGGAGTCCTCCAGTAACCCACAATAATCAAAAGGATTATTATTTCAAGCAATCTCTTCCCCCCAGAAGCTGGCTATGACAGTGACTGCGGTAAATTCTGCTTGATAACAAATGCTTAAGTCACTCAGAAGACTGGTGATGAAGATTACAAAGTTAGGACTCGACTTTAAGACCTCTTACCACTTCAGCAGAAGTCAATGGGGGTTGGTCATCTTTCAAAGTCTGGCTCTCGGCAACTCCTAGCACTTATTGTTAAAGCCTTTTTTTAACTAATATTACTACTCTTTTGAATATATATTAAGTTCTTACTCAGTATATCTGCTTTTGTATTGCATTTGGCACTACACCGGATGATATCCAGCTCAATTTTTCACTCGTCCCAGAATCTAGACAGCTTGGAGATACTGAGCTGGATCCTCATTCCTCTTGAGGAATCAAAAGGTCGTAACAGCAAAAATCCTGGTAACATCACCGTCTGTTTTATAAACAGATATGCATATAAACAGAGACTATAAACATGTAATATGTAAAGGTATAACAGAGATTACTACATTAGCAATAGATTTTTGGGTAGCAGAGAGTGTAATCTGGCTTTCAGAATTTACTATAGTTGATGACTTTGGAAAGGAGTGTCAGCTACCAAGTTAAAAAACACTCTTTTAAATTCATCATCATTGAGCAAGTGACATGAGAAGGAAGTAAAATGTACCATACATTGATATATTTTATAGAAAAATACTTTTCAGATGAAAACCCTGTTTAAGAGACAAAAGTGACAGGTCATATTGCACTTAAGTATCTGTCATTGCTAAGCATGCTAATTATCTGCAATTTTTCTTTGATTACCAGTGTCGAACCAAAAGAAACTTAACCAGAAACATTGTGAAAGAACACAAAGAAAATATGAATGGGAATTTCAGAATGGATGGGTGGGTGGAGATAGGGACGCTTACTGACTTTCTCATTGAAGAGACTCAGAAAGGATGATAAGCTCCCTCTGAATGATGTCTCACCTTTTCCTAATGTGATTATTCCTCTTATTGTTTTCCAATGACTTTTCTTGACAGGGCAAAGAGAGCTTCCTCTGTCTCTAATTGCATTCTTGGCTTTTTCAAGGTCCTGTTGAAAGAAATACAAAGGGAAATTCAAGGGTCTTTTTATTTTAATAATATAGTGATAATGAATATTGAAATACCTCTTTATTCAGTTTTTCAGAGTCAGCAAGATACTGAGGTGAGGAAGAAAATTCATTTCTTTCCTTGTATGATAATACAGGGTTTTGAGTGACAAGAAAAACAATATGTTCTTTTTTCCCTGTTCTTTCTTCTTCCTCTGTTTGATTGACAATTTCCATTGAAATCTCAATGTTAAAAAAATCCAGGGCTGCTGCACCGATGATTCCTGAAGGGGAGACAAAAGACAAAGTATTGCCAGGAACAAACCCTTTCCGTTTTCCCTTTTAGAGGGCCCACAGTGGAATTTCACTGTTTCAGAAATCATTTTCCCAAAGAACTCTGGAAGAAGAAAGCAACCTGTTGTTACCTATGTTGTTCCTACTACCTTTGCCATGATAAGTACATGTGCACAGGAGGTAAGCTTTAAAGTTACTGTTTCTTTTGTCTTGTCTGATGACAAATGCTTACTTTCAATAGAAAAAGGTCAGCAGGATATCTGAAAAATACGTCCAAATAGTCATACATAGCAATACCACGAATTCACGCTAACCCAAAACGTGCACAGGGTCTGAAGAGATTCTGCTGTAACAATCTCTTTCAGTTGTCGCAGCGTATTTTCTTCTGAAAGGAAGGAAATATCTTTCGTGGAGATGCACAATCAGTCCTCTCATTTCTGCTTAGCTCTTAGGCAAAACACTGGACCATGACGTGAAAAGCTCTGTCTGAAATTCCAGGTATCTCTGTGCTTTAACAGGAATATGAAATGAGTTCTGACAAAGGGTTTCGATAAATTTCTAAATTCAGCAGCATCTATGTAAGAAAGGAATATGATCATCTCTGACAGACTTCACAGCTGTTAAACCCTTGCACACATACAGCTGTTGAGACTCTTAATGCCAGAAAAAGACACAGTTTTGAGCTGGTTTCGATAGTAGTTTTACAGATTGTATGTACTGCAGGAGTATTTATGAATGGATGGATGGATGTCTTCAAATCAGCTATAATTCGTACTTGACTGTCATTTAAGGAGTGGGAGTTACTGAGAACTAATCAACAGGTAGAAACAACACACTGTGAACTTTAATTTTGCTTCCAGGAAAGGAATTCTACAGGAATGCTAAAGGAGGAACAGACAGGTATGGCCTGGGTTGTCATATTGCTGATCTTGATGAAGCCCTGGAAGCTAGCAGTAATCAGGCAGTGGGGAAATACCAAGGTCAGTTGCCTGGTGACTGAACTCTACCAGGCTTCAATTCCATGGCCAGACTTCATCTGAAAAATAGATTCTGAAACAGGAGCAAAGTATATCTGCAAATGCGTTACTATTCTGTAGATAAATTGCGTTACCAGCTGATCTATATCTGCATTCTATCTGATTACCTGGCACGATATGGCACAGACCTCTTCTATCTGAATAGTAATGTAAATGCATTGACCCATCTTCATTCTTCTCTACTCTAAAAGATGGTGCATTCATCTCCTGAGGGAAAACAAAGAAAAACAGAACTTCAGAATCTGTTTCTGGTAAAGAATACCGATGAATACCGCTTGTACAAAAGCAGCCCATGTCTTAGTAAAATAAACAGTAATATCAATCAGCTGAAATATAGAAAATTAAATAAGTTGACCTGTAAAGTAAAAAAAAAAAAAGAAAATCTAGTATCCATTAGAGCCAATGTACTAAATAGTACCTAATGTTGAGGACTACTCAGAAAAAAAAAAATAAATAAAAAGCTGTCCTAACATTTTGGAGTAACCTGCTCCAGAACATAGGAAAGCCTGTTATAGCATCTTTTTTCATTATTTGTTCACACCTATGAGATGCAAACTCTGTCAGAGTCCACCCATCCTGCTCAGCAATTCCTACTGGAACTTGCCTGGTAAGAAAGGGACAGGTAGCTGTGCAATGCATCCAGGTTCTCTATGAACTCATAGAGGTTTCCACCCAGCGTCCTCAGCATGTGGTCATAGCCCGAGCGTTTACAGAACTCAAAGAAATACTCTCCAAACTCTCTCAGAATTAACGCCTGGCAAAAGAAAGATACCTTAATGAATACAAAAGGCTTGAAAGGTCTAACAATGCTATCAGGAGGATTAAAAGCAAATGTAGAAAAATTGCAAGATAGGGAGGGCATTCCAATGAGCACTGGAGAATAAAACCTGGGCTGCAGTCTCAGGCTTGACCCAAGCTGGTTCATTCTTGAGGCATGGTGACACATACCCAGTATTTTGCAGGCTTTGTCAAGGAGCCGCATCGTGATCTCATCTTTGTACACCTCAAAAGTCAAGAAAGAATCCTGGACTCCGGCCTGGAGTCTGCAACAGAGGAGACAATATTCTTGTCTCAGCAGTGCTGTAAGTATAACACGCTCAGGTGACCCAACATTACGGTACCACAGTAAACTCTTCCAGGGATTAGGGTATCATACTGTGGGGGGCTGGAGAAAGCAGAGTGTTAGTTTGTCTTCTGGTCTACCAGCTTGTTGTGCAATGTGGCCACCATATCAGGCTCTTGGGTCTCCACAGACTTGACCAAAAACTTGTTGAATTTTTATACTGGCTACAATGGGTACTGTATGTTCCTATGTTTGTATGTACCTTTTTTCACAGATTCACCTTTCTTTATCTTTATCTCTTGGAAAATGCCACAGAGCTCATAAAGTAAAGACAAAAACAGAGATTATGATATATTTAGCTGCTTTTCTGAAGGTACCAGAATTAAACTGACTTCATATCAAGGATGACATCTTTTCCATGTAATTACTTTTCAATACTGTCACAGTGACCCAGTGAGTTTATGGCACAATTTTCTGTAAGACTAAATGTCATCCTTAAATATCTGATATAAAAAATTAATTGGGAAAAATAGTATCAGAGTATTAATTGTTATAAAGTAAGAAACTCTTGCCGTTGCCCTCCTAGCTACTACTAATAATTATTTGAGACAAACATCAGCTGACATTTACCGGTGAGAAATTCTAATCCTCTGCTGGTAAATTCCTGAGCATTTTCTTTCAACACACTACATTTATTGGGAACACGTTACCTTAATTTTTCCCATGTTTCTTCACCATACTTTTCAACCACCAAAGACTTCAGGCAGGTATTTATAAATCCATACTGCAAAAGCAAATACACGAACGTGAAAAAAAAAATATGCTGGTTTTCAGGATGCAGCCCAAATGTGCCACCTTTTTTGTATGTGAGGTTCCACTGCTGCGTTTATATTGCAAAAGAGAAAGTAACAATGTTTGACTGCCATTGTGTCTTCCGGTAAACGGCATGTCACAAGCATTCTGCAAATGAATGCTGAATGAGCAAACATATTCAAACCCATCTGGCAGCCCCGGACCCAGAGACAGCTCGCCAGGGCCCTGCGGTGCCATGCCTGCAGCCCGGAGTGCGTCCCCTGCAGCGCTGCACAGCAGCCACGCAGCACCGGGCGGTGAGTTCGGCTGTGCCGTGGCTGTTGTTTGCGCTGGCGCTGACAAACTGCACGCTGGAGATGGGGGGGGGGAGATGTTAAAAGAATAATCACGAAAGCTGCGCTGCCACAGTAGCGGTAGCCGAAGGATGCTGTGGTCCAAACCCCCCAGAGCAACGGGGCTGGTGAGCCGGCAGCGGCAGGCAGGAGGCTCTCTGCCTGCTGGTGCCTGTTCGTCCCTCTGTCGCCGACAGGAGCTGTCTGTCCCGACTCGCCC